TCCAAATAGATGTATTCTTGATATATCAACAGATTATTCGTATGTTAAGAAACACTATAAAAACTTATAATCTATTTCTTTTTTTTTTCTTACCTAGTGGAAAGCATCGTGCAAAAGCTTATGGTCGTGTACATCTATTTTTTAATCATCAAGGTAATTATTTAAAACATGTTAAAAATTTATCAAAATTTATTGATTATACATCAATAACATGTCATTTTTCGATGCCAATACAATTACCTGATGTAATCTATGTTAATGTTATTATATTTAATCGTGATAATAATAATTCAATAACAACAACATCAAATAAAAATATATCTCTTCAAGATATTCTTCAACTTATTGAATATAATAAAAAATTTCATGATGAACCTATGTTACCAATAAATTCATCAAGAATTTCATCTCCTACTACAATGAATAATATGATACATAAGGATTTAGTTATGATTAATACAACATTAGATAATAATAATGATGATGATGATGAACCATTAAATAATAATATTACTATACTTGACGAAAAACTTTTGTAATCATCTTATTACAACAATGATCCAGTCTTTTTTTTTCTGTTTCCTTGTAACAATTATTGTAATATATCTTATGCATGAAAACAATTATATCATGAAATATTTAAGATATAAATATAGTTCAAAAATTAAAAAAATACTGATGAAAAGTTAAATATTTATTTCTTTAAATAATATTTATGAAATCATGACAGACAAAAAAAAAACTGAAAAGAAAAGAAAGAATTTTTAAAAACTATTTATCGATGTGATATGAAATTTAAACATAAATACGACGCCAATGATAAAGAATAAGATAGAATATTACTGTAATAATTATATCAACACATGTTGCAACAACATACCATGCAATAAATGTATTTAATGTTATACGATTTGTTGTTTTATCTATACAAGATGTCCATGCCCAACCCATACAACAAGTTGCTTCACCATCTGTCATATGAATAGTAGTTACTGGTGTACTTCCTGAATAGTCAGTATTTCTAGATTGAAGTATTTTGTATATGAAATAAACTGTTTGAGTAATAAAACAAATTCCAAATACAATCGGACAAATTATCCAAGCAAGTAGAACAGCCATATTGATGTTGACTTATGGAGCAATGAAATAGAGCTCTCACATATATTTAATATAGTATACACCTGAGAGAGATAACAGATATAGAACATCAATGTAACGACAAAAAAAAATATAATGACGCCATTTTGTCTCTTACCAAATTTCATTCATAGATATACAAAATCAACAACATAAAAACAAATGTAAAACAACGAAACTTCAATCTACAGCTCTATAGTACCGTATGAAAAAAAGCTTACTTAAGAAAAAGACTTAAGCGAATGGCAAAAATCGATAAAAAGAAGAAAGTTTTTACTATTATCAAAACCATACTGATTATAGGATCTACATGAACTTAAAAAAATCGCACATACAATTAGTCTAAAATGTGTCTGAACATTTGTTAGCTCTTTCTTTGTATTCTGTATTTTGTGTAATAAGAGTGCAAATATTAAATTTTCTTCTTAGATAAACAACAAACACACACTGAGTCACGTGTGATATAAATATTTTTAGATTTTTGAATTTATTGCATTTTCTTTTGTCGTTCAAAGTTTTACTCCAACTGCAAATAACCATCAGACGTTATTGATAACATATTAGCACAGAATAATATATCATCTGATCCCAAGTTGCCGAATCCGTAATTATTTCCGAGCACATGCAAGATCCGCAACTATTTTCAAATCAACTAAATCACAGAAAAACACGAATAATTCAGAAACCGAAAACTGAGTCAAATTTAAGTAACATCAAAATTATCATTGACTACAAACCCTTTAGCTGCATCAATCTTTCGATTCTCTCTTCATCATTGTATTCATCTCTCACCAATGTTGAAGTGCAGACAACAATGATAAGTTTGGAAGCTGTTAGATATGAAAATTCTACATCATATCCACCTATTATTACTACTGATATTCCAGCTTTTACATGACATGCATCACTAGATATTTAATACTTATCCAACATTACTTCGAATTAGTGATACATCGTGGCATTTGAACAATAAAAATTAATTGTTACTGTTTGTTCCAACCTAGAGAGATGTATTTTCACTATTACATATGAATACATATTCATTCACCATAGTCACATCTTCCATACAAGTTACGTCCTCACATCGTTTACCAACCCAATTTCTGCTTCTTCTTTTTAAAGTATCTTTTAGAAAAAATTCAACAAAACTTTCGTTCAGCTTAATATTTACATTGTATTCACACATCATCAAATACAAACAGCTTCACGCTAGTTCGTATAGATGTCGAAATCGTTCAAGAATGTGATCAATACTTACTTTAGAATAAGGAAAAACTCATACTGCAGCCATTTATATTAAAAAAGTGAATTTTTCGACATGGGCAGATCGTTTGGATTTAGTGCTTGAGTCACTTGGACTTTTTTGTAAAAATGATTTTTCTTTTATTCTAATGTAAAACAAAAATGATCAGAAAAATCAGCTTTAAATCGTTTTTTTTTTCTAATTAAAAATTGATTAAAATACAGAGATTTTGATCAGATATCTTCTTATGATATACTGCTTAATTAACTATTTAATTTTTAATTGACCTTAATTGCTGTGACTCTAAAACACGTTTTTCTTCATTATTTACTTGAAAACTCCATTTCTTTTGATGATTTTTAATAATTTCACATGTCGACAAGCATTAATGCAGCACTAAGTCATATCTTTGTCTTTTTAATGTACCACTGAATGTATTCAATTCAATAGAAAATGAATATTTGCTCCTTATAGAATATACACATACGTTACCGTATAGAGCTTGTCTCTCGATAACAGATAATGAGATAATACTTTTTTAGTTCAGTTCGATTCAGCACTAATTAATTTTTTTCAGTTTCCGTTTGGTCCTGATCGGTTTAAAACTCAGTCAATTCTAATCTATTCCATATCTGATCCAAATCGATACCTAAGGTCTTAAAACATGTTTTATTCGATGTGGACACCGTTTAAGGAAAACAAGCGAAATAAGGAAAAATATGGATACCATTGTAGAGGCACATGACATCGTCTGATAGTACATAGACTTAACACAAAAAACTAGAGACTAATAGAGAACAAATGTTCGGAAAATAGAAGTTTTTATTATGTATTGTACTTTTAGTGTAATTTTTTTCAAATTTGAGACTGGTGGTATTAAATTTGTAAACTCTACTTTTTGATATTTTATTGATATTTGCATGGAAATTACTATAATTTCTATGTTAAACATTCTGTGAAAGTGAATACAGAGTACGATTGATGTTCAGAAGAATGATTTTCATCATTCAAATCGTTGCACCAGCTGATTCTTTTCAATGTGCAAGATAGCCTTTTATTAATCAATGCGAGTAGCCATATGAGATAAAACAACTCATCTAATTTTAAAGATGAATCAACATCAATGGCTTTGCTGGACTTATCTATGACATTTTAACTTGAACCGAATTATGTTATTACACGGAACCATTTCAATAACTGTTTATTCCAGTGTCTCCATCAATTTAACTGATTGATCTGACAGTATATATCAACTAAGTATGTGAATCAATTCGATTCAAACTCACTAAGCATGCACATCTATTCGACTATACATGCGAACTTTTTGAAATATTTTGTTTCAATTCAGTACTTTATTGTAAACTTGTGATATGTTTTGTCAATTAATTTAATATAGTGAGATACATTTGAAGTTTTTCTTTTTAGTTAATAAGAGTTTTCTATGACATGATCTCATGTGATTCTACGATGGTGTCACATTGCTTCTTAACTCGTTGTTTTCCTTAAAGGATGCCCACAACTCAACCTGTCAAACGATTTTTCAATGTTATAATCATCATAAACGACAGTTTATATCGGTTATTATGCGAATCAACTCGGAAGCACCGACTGAACGAGTTTTAAGCACCCCTTATCCGTCCACTTTAGTGTTCGAAAGACGCTCTCTTGCTCTTTAACAATCATTATAATGACAACAAAAGAATATATTCATCAAAAGAGAAAAATAATGCCAAGTCAGTGCCTTTTATTGTAGAATACCACAGAATAAAAAGAAACTGTTTCTGAAAAAGTATATTTTAGAATAGTAACTGAAGCGAGTAATATTTTAGTTAAACTAATACCAAAGAATTCGGAATAGCCGATCGAAATTTATTTTTCATCGCATTGATTTCATCTGCAGGAAAAAGATTTCTCTACAAATCTACTTTTCTCAGATACACCAGGCGGAAAATGTCAGTAAATATATCAGTGAGTTTGTTGTCATTCAGATAAAGATAGTAGAGTTCATAATAGAATTGGCTGATTTCTAGAGGTACATAATCGATTTCATTACACGAGAGAAGGTGTGGGTGTGGGTGTGATAAACAGGAAGACACACATTCACACTCACACTCGCACCCCATACCCACCCACATCCAGGCCCTCCCATATTAGAAGCCCCTACATTTTCAAGGCATTTTAAGAGATAAAAACCTGTTAAAATCTTATTTATCAGTATCAAAATCCTGAAATCTCTTCGAAAACCTGCTGAACAACTCATAAAAACCTTAAAAACTCCTTAGGACTTTCGAAAAATGCTTGTCCTTGTCACCTTTGAAAAATTAGGGGATCTAATAGAAGCCCCTGGGGGCTTCTATTATTGGGAGGTAGTCATCTTGAAACATGAGATGGCACCACAAGTTGATGACTTTATTCACTTTTAGCTTCGTCATTTATAGTTGCTGAATAGTATAGACCACAACCACAAGAGTGAACAAATTGAATGAATAAAGGAGAGGAGACAATATTTATGGTTGATTTATTTCAGCGAAAATAAAGAAAACAATGATTTTGTTTAATTGAAAGACAAAACACATTTCTTTTTACAATTTTTTTTTATAGGCAACAATTTCAATAAACAATGTCAACTGAACATATTCATCGTTTATCAACCTCTTCTACTTCATCTATTTCTTCAATGTCAACTGATGATTTTCATATTTTATCAACCTCTCCTGTTTCATCTACTTCTACATCATCAAATACAAATGCTTCAATATTTTCTTCTTCGTCAAATACAAATGTTTCATCATCTTCTTCGTCAAATTCGTTATCATATTCTAGTGAACGAATATGTTATTTATTAAAACATGAAAAACAACAATACGATATTGTTGATAATAAAGCATCATCAACTGTTGGCTCATATTGATCTCTTTTTGGATTTATATTTTCTTTTAACTCTTCGTCGTATCTTGGATCATATGTTGTTTTTGTTATTATGCTTAAATATCTTTCGATTATGTGAAGAAGTATTGATATTATCAGAAAATCTCGTAAATTCAAGTCTTTCTTTTATGAAAAATATTTAACATGATTGTCTCTTTGTTTTTATTTGCTACTTTGTGCAAAAACTTGTTATTCCATTATCTTCATGAAAATAAATTAAATAAATAATTGAAATTGGAATCATGCATTAATACAGAGTTATAGAATTTAATGGAATTGAAAAATCAGAAACATCAATTGGCCTGCAGGTTAGGCCAGGCCGAAAAAAGTGGCCTGTTGGCATCTCTGATTTCGACTTTGCTGTTGGAGTATTACATCGCAAAAATACCGTTATCTTTGTATTCTTTATCATGAAGTCTAAAGAATTCATTGCTTCGATTTTATGAATTTCAATTCACTCTCAGCAAGTAGTTTGTTCAATAGAAACATACAATTAAGCAGTCTCAGTATACTATAGACTGTCGTATTATAAGTATATTTTGAAATAAAATACGATGTCACTAGTTTTTCTATAGCATTAACTTGAAAACTCTTTTTAATTAATTTGAGATAATAATTCAATGGAAGAACAAAATAGTTGATTTATTAAAATTATTATCACTGGTTATTTGGTAACTCGTTTCAATGTTCGTAGAGGATCTGTTTTAGATACACTTGACAAAAAATTTATTTCTAGCGTTACTTGCTCCGATTAGTGTGCAATTGTTCGGATTCTGTTTCCGTATATTTAGCGCAATCTTATGGTCTTAAAAATCTCTATATTCACTGTTAGATAAGTTTCTGATTAGTTGCTATTTTACTGTTGAATCTTTGAAAATTTTCATATGATTGAATCGTTCCATTCTTAACGAAGATTTATTGAATTAGATTGATATGTTTTGTCGAGCACTGTTAAACTCAGTAGAATGATTTGTACTACATGATAGTATCTTGTTCAAAATTTGTAGAACATGAACAACCAGATGCTAATTTACTGTTGATTACTAAAAGGAAATCAATTGAAACAATTTTATTCATGGTAATCAAAAATTTTATGCAATCTACAAGAACTCCTGAAGATAATTGATAAAATAATCCAATAGAATGATGTGTATCAATTTGATCAGTTACAAAGACGAAAAGATCGTACCAAATATCTGTTTATATATACAGAAGCGTTCTTATGCTTAAAATCATATAACACAATTGTATGATAATGGTTCATCAATCGCTAAAAAGTCAAATTACTATAGAACTTAAATTATTATCTAGATATAAATATTTAAAATGTTGAAGTCATTACATCAAATTATAGAAGAATTTTTGTTTTCGTGTCTTAGTTTGGTTGGCATTGATATAATGGTAACTCACATAGATTTGATTCAAAGGGGAAAAATTGTTATATATATTAAGACTACTTGTGTACTAGCGGAAAAATGAAAATTAACAGAAATAATGTTCAACGCTGTAAGAAAAATGATTCGAAGAAACATTTTTTTTTTCTGCATCTTAAGAGATAAATGCTTTTATTATCAATTATTCGAAGTGAATATAGCATCCTTATAGTATCGAGTAGATTGTCAACGGAATGATGAAAATTAGATGATCTATCATATGACGTAAATTTTCGTGTGCATAGAAAGGGTTGTTTTGACACGTATTCCTTTTCTGAATGGTAATCATAGAAGAATGAGATACGGATGAACTGTGGACACATACGCACATATGTATATGACGGTCGTCCTATATGAACAGAATAGAAAGAAAATTCATTTTTGACGTGAATGGCATTTTTCCGCTTGAAATGAGCATTTATCTCACCGATCGATTTGTTGTCCACTGCTGTCAAACTATAGTCTAAGCAAGAATTCAAACTCGATTCGAAATCAGCTTATTTCATTCGCCGTTAACAATAGTTGACCGAAGTCAATCAATTGAACAATTCGTCTCATGTTCTGAATGAAAAAAACAAGTCTCTTCTCTCTATATAACATCGACATTGAATTACGCGTAGAAAACCAATCGATCATGGAATAATAAGTGAAGCTCTTTTGAAAAAAAACTCGAAAACGAACAGACGATATATCATTCATTGAGAGGAAAAATACAATTGTCACTTAGAATTCATCAACCAATTACATTGAACTGTGAGGTCATAGAAAAACAAGTCCATTGCAGTGTAGCGTTCAAACTCTAGTATCCACTGTAATCGATGTTGCCGGTGGCTCGTGAAACTTGGCCCGTAGCATTCGCTTGACTTTGGGCACTTGTTTTCGCACCTTGATGATGCCGTTGGTGGGCGACTTAGTCGACTGCCGTATCAACGTAAACGAGCAACAAAAGTACACGGTTACAATGTACTGCGCAATGATCAACCAAAAGCTAAACTGGTAAAGAGTGCGGTTGCAATACGAATTCTCCTTAGTGCGATCCGTAAACTGCACGCGTTTCACCACGCTGAAAACCCACACATTGCCCACGATAAACCAGGCGAAGAGAAATAGACCGATAAGAAGAGTCAGAACGGAAACAGCACAAATAAAGGCATACTTGAACTTGGTCAAACACAGAATGTAGACGGTAGCGAGCAAATGGATGCACAGAAGCAGGCCGCCAACAGCGCCTTGAACGACAAGAAAAAGAGGAATGTGTGGCTGGATGGAACAGTTATGAATATGAGAAATGCCGAAGATGAGTGACAGGATAGCGATTGAGAAGGGTAGAATGAGCTGGAAGTGAAAGCGTTTTGACTTGAACAACCCTGTTGTTTTCTTTATCACTTTGGCGGGACCAAAAGGAGCAGAGCGGATATGTGGGACATTGGTGGTTGCTACACTTTGGTCGCCCATGACTGTTCACTGGACAGTAAATAAAGCAATGTGTTGGTGGTAAATTTGATCCTTCGACTCGATATGATGCAAGTCAATTCTTTTAAAACTAATGCTGCTTTGATCTAATGGAAAATTCAGTTTGTGTCAACCAGATTTTGATTTTGTCGAAAATATCAGAAGATAGGACGATCACACGTAGAAGACTTGGCACATCATTTAATGAAAACGCGGTTTTGAATGTCGAAGAACAATTTTACTCAATCAATGAAGTCGTATGATTTGGCTTGCTAGTAAGAGACCCTATGTTTGAAAAGTATAACTTAGAAGAATCCGGCTTTTGTATCAAAGAAAAGATTAATAATGTATTTTAGCGAAGAAAGTTTCAAATTAATGAATATCGAAAAGTTTACTGAAAATAATATGATAAAAAAGAAAAAAAAACAGGATGTGGTTAATATTGGAGAGTTGATACATAATAGGTCAATATTATGAAAGAATTCTAAAAGTCAAAAGGCGCATTTGGCACAAATGAAAATAAAATTTAACTCAATTGAATGCCACTCTTACACTTTAAACGAAGTATAAACTTCTATGAGTTGGATAAGAAAAGTTTTTATTCTATATCAACTCACAGATCCCGATTGTGTAAGTTCTTTTCTTTAATTTTTCACAATAAAGAAGTCAACCATCCGTATTCCAACATGAGAAAGTATAAATATAGACATAGAAGTATCAGAAAAATTGAGTTTGCTTTTTTACTAATATTCGAGTAAAAAGCTGTCCCGAAAAAATCGAGAACTGTATCGAATTCAGAATTGAATGTTGAATCAACAGACCGTCGTAGGTTCTTCACAAAGCTCGCTGATTTAACGAAGACCTCTGTTCGATGAAGCATGCGAAGGTCTATCCAGAGAGCAAATACTTGGTCAAAATACACATTTATGCTTGTTTTTTTTTTCAATATTTCCAATACTATATGATTTTTTTATGAAGAACCTATCAGGTTATTTAAGTCTAATTTCAGTTTTGTGTCTGGAATAACTTTTTATTCGAGTATTAGTCTAACATACTCGAATCTACTGAGAGCTCTATTAGATGGGTAAAATACTGAAACTACATGTATATGTGGTATCGAAGTTACTTCAATTGAACTAAATACGAAATAAATATAATTTAACTGATGATAGTTCACTTTTCATTTTAAAAACATTTATATCATTTTTGTAAGAATATACATAGAAGAAATAATTCAGAAAAATCAAACATTACTATTTGTTCATATTTTATATGACTATAGATCTATTCTAACGACACTAAGATCTGTAACTAAGCATAGATATCTCTAGAATACTATGCTCTGATTTAAACAACATTTTAACTTTATATCAATGAAAAAAACACTACATATAAAGACAAATGAAACATTTAGCAGAGTCAGACTTACACTGAGTCTAACACAAACTTCACTTGACTGAATTTTTGAATAACACGTTCCAGTATTATCTATGTATTAGTCCAATATAAATTCTATCAGTGAAATTAATCTGAAAGAAGAACATATCAGACAAAGATCATAAGAAAAGTAACAGATGGGTCGAAAGTTTTCGGAGAAACATTTTATCCGAAAACTTTCTATCCACTCGTTAGTAGATAAAGCAGTAAGAACAACTTGTAACTTTGGCACTCAATCAGCGAGATGCTATAAGAATTTATCTTTTTTTAGACTTGCTGTTTATATTGAAACACTTGGTTCTATCTTTTTCATAATATAGCATTTTTTGACTGCACCAGAAGAAAATCACAATCTGGAGTATGTATTCTGCATCCTGAACTAATTAGTTTTTTCATCATAATCTTGCCTTCGTTGTTATTTGCAGCTAAGCATTTCATTTATCTTCATTTTTAGTATTGTATTTTATGTCAAAATGAAAATAGGGATTCAAAGATGTTCTAATTCTATGACTATGCGCTGCTTACATAAGAGCATAGTATTCTAGAGATCTCGTTGATTAGTCACAGATCTTAATGTCGTTAGAATAGATCTATAGTCATATAAAATATGAACAAATAGTAATGTTTGATTTTTCTCAATTATTTTTTCTATGTATATTCT